CTTATTTCCACACGAGAACAGAACTGCACACCAGACTCTGCTGTGAGCTGAAATATCTTACTGGCTCAGCTTCTGTGAATTAAATCAGCAAGCGATTTTGAGCCTAGAAACTTGAACATTTAGGGATAATGTACGGCACTTATTATGCAGCTTTTCAGCAACATAACAGTTTACATAGACATGAAATATTGATTGTTGTCTGCCCGCTTCTCCTCAGGTCATGTATCTGTGGGTCGGAAGAAACTGCAGCCCGGTTTTCCTCACAGAAGTGCTGGGAGTGGAGAGTCACGCTGCTGTTCCTCTCAACATGGTAAACTCACTCACAACTACTGCATTATTCACTCATCACACAGCTCTTTACTGAACACTGCGGCTTTTCTGGTCACAACTTGATGTTTTTCGTGTGTGTATTTTTAATTGTTTTTGCATCTTTCTCTTTCATGAGTGATTGGTGGATCGCATTAGAAATGATTCGTTTCTAGTTTTATTGGTGGTATTATCATGCAAATAAATGCTGTTTAATGTTGAGATTATATTTGTGGCAGATAAATATTGCTCTGATTGCAAAATGCAAGTCAATTTTATCGAAGATGTTGTTTGCCCCTCCGTAGCTTCACTTCAGAGTTTATCTGAATGATTTTTCATTTCATGACTTGTATATCAACAGTGATATCTGTGACGGATGCCTCAATAGAGTATTTGATTGTCATGTGATTGGTTTCTCCTCTCAGAACCAGCTTCCAGAGCTGGACACGGCTCGATCTTCACGACTGCGAGCGTTCGTCGACTGGCTGAGAGAACGCCGGCCGTGCCACGCCGTCCTGCACGTCATCAGGTCAGAAACACGCTCCAGTTCAGAGATATGAGATATGCCGGACAGATGAATCCACATTCTCCATCAACTGTGCTGATTGTTTCAGGAGCATTTTACCTTTTGAGGCCTTTTTTACTAGCCGTATAAAAACACATCCATTTATGTCACAGATGAATTATATATTTATCGATCATTTATATCATCATAATTCAGGCGAATCAATTAGCTGAGATAAATTCTCAATCTGACCATTTATGGCTGTTCATCAAAACAACATCAAATGCAAAAATCTGTAAATAATGCTACGTGACGTTTTATGATCAGTCAGAAAAATTATGTAAATAATTTGCTGACCGACACCAATTGAACATCTGAAAATCAGAAAAATGTTTTGGTCAAATTGAATAGCTTTGAGGATTTTGGATGATAATTCAG